TTTTTTTCAAGGAAGATAACTCTCACCCGGATCAAAGTGATTGTAAAATGTAAAATAAATTAATTATAAAGCCATTGTGTATATTTTGTTCAATTTCCCACTCTATATGTATAGATCTGTGTGTCCTGTTTGCTTTTAGCTTGTAGATAATCACTTTTATCCGTTCAAATTCAATAAAAAACACTTTGTGTAACATGTGTTACATATTTTGCGATAAATAAAATATTTGTAGGATTAATTATAAATGCTTCTTTTCATTTTTTTATTGTTTTTATTGTTCCGAACAATACCACACACAAAAAAACCGGAAAATATTAAAAGTGGCGAAAATTCAATTTTTTGGTATTTTTTCCAAAAAATTCCCCAAACTATCGGAATGTTTAGATTTTCATAAAATTAACTCTACATAGTTGCATAACCATTATATGAAAGTTTCAACGAATTTTGCTGGTTAATTGCGAAAGTGTGGAGCCACCTTAACGTGCTGTAGGCGTGGCCTGCAGGTCAGTCAAAACGTAGTCAAAATGTAGTCTCGTTCAACCAGACGTTGAACGAGACTAGTCAAAACGTCACTTGCTGGCCTTCTTTGTGTTTGAATTGAATGCGATGGTAGCTTCGTGAGTAACGGCATTGCTATAACTCGGATCGTTGTCATCTGTAGTCATGTAGTTGATAGTTTACTATTTAATAAAGGTTAACAGTAACATCATTTACACTATACACTTTTCTATGCTTTACAGGCGGATAATTATGAAGAAGTGTATACCGGTGCTGTTTACACAGAGGCGAGTAAACCAAATAGGATCAAATATCCGGGCCGGACCCCTATCATAACACCGTATCCACTTGAGGGCGACACCTTGTCTTTGGTGAGCTTGTCAAATTATTTGTTCTATAAGCTGGGCAAACTGATAGTCAATAAGGTTAGAAAACACATATTCATCACTTAATCTGGAATAGATACAACCGAAACGTCTTCTGATTATTTAGATAAACTGGCTATTTTGAAAAGATATTAAGTCAACATAGAAACTGATATTAGAACCCGCGAAAGTTCTTATTGAATTTCAACGCCACTGCGCCGAGAAGAAAAGAAACATGCAATAGGGCTAAATTGTAACATCAGTGATATACTAGGTAACGGAAAACAATGGGTAGTGTAGTCAGAAGGGATGGGTTTGTTCTCAAGTGACCGTTATCCTGGTGACAGACGGAAAACGTTATACATGTTATTTATAGTTCGTATTACAAATACCATGTACGTAGTACAGAACGGTAAGTGATAGGGCAGTGAATGATAGATAGATACAGGGACTGAAATGACAAAATAACATTGAAGCACCTGTTCTTTTAAGACTATATACAGTCTTTAAAATATATTATTTACAATAAAATTAAAGTCTGTAGTCTTAAATATATTTTCGTTTCAAGCTATTTTCAAGTCAAAAATTCCCATGCAAAAGCTACAAGAACAGCATACAGTAGGAACGTCGTCCCAGCTTAATTAATATTTCATATCTTTTAATTTGCTATTAAATGGGCATTCCATCATATAAAGTGTAAAGGGCTAACTGTTAACACGAGATGATAATATGCGGGGTACATGCTACAGATCAGTATGAAGTGCACTTTCCTTGTGTCTTGATTGAGTTAGTAGAATATCAAGACGACGGGGGACCGTAGTTATGGTCCATATGACCAATAATTAGGTGTAAGAATATTCCAACCGACTATTGGTATTTCAGTGTGGACCGTGTTACACTTCTCTCTTACCTGTGTTAGATGAATATATATCAGGTATATAAAAGAAAGGACATCAGATACTTGCCTGATACGTTAATTTCTGATTTTAGACATACAGCTCTAATCAATATTGTGCTGCCTTGACGCCGGCGATCGAACCAGTCCAATCGCAATAATAGCTTTCAGGAACTCATGTTCCTTGTTTACCTGTATGCGACGTTAAATAAAGTTTCTTGTATCTTGTATCCGCTAATCAATGTCATACGTTGTGTATTACCTCCATCGAAATGTTAAACTGAAGTCATGCTGCCGATGTTAAAAACGTGATGTCGAAAAGAGTTACCGCATTTTTCTGTAAATATTTGGATAAAATATTAGTATTAGTAATGCAATAACACTTCTTTTTGAATTGTTTCGAATTAATATGAAAGGTATGAAATATTTCCAACAGGTGTTCTTTTTGTTTTCTTCAATGCAGAGCCTTGCTAAAATGAAGAAAAATCAAACAAAAAATAAAAAGTCTATAAAAAAATCATGCAGAGTCTGTTTTGCATATCGGTATAAATTGTTCATGCTGTGATTATATCTGCAAGGACATTTCAATATAAACTAGAGTCTGGCACTAATAGAAAATTTGGATTTTAGGTGCAAACAATTTGGTTGTAATTCATATTTTGTTTTGAAACTATGTAATATTGGATGTGATTTTCCCTAATTGCGGCATATTGCCTTACCCTGACAGTGGCTTCGATAATCATCTTGCCATTAGACGAGACACTGTTTTGTCAATAACCTTCTAGCTTCATTACATGGTACTCTGTGCGCTGTACACGGCAACTCAACAATATCATAATTGTATACCTTAGCATGCGGGTCGGTGCATTGAAAGCTTTCTTTATATTTTGAATTTTCTTTGCATCTTTTATTTATAATATTTATTTTCCTTTTGATCTCTGATTACAATATATTTGTTTGTTCTTATGTGTAAAATTAAAACAGTTGTTAAATTCGTTAAAATACAATAACTTTAGAACAAAAGATAAAAACTTGTTCTCAACTGTATGCTGACAACACTGTGACACAAAGGGGCCAATCGTATATCCAACTCGGTCCTCTCTAGGTCGATTTTGTCGGGTTCCGACGAACGTCTTGCAACTATGTCAATAATATATGATGTAAAATCGCGTGCAGGCACCGTAATCAATAAATTACATAAAGTTTTGATGAATGTGATTAAATTACAAATCAAGAAAACTTGTGGCCTTAGGGAAATTTACTGAAACAATGAACGATGGAAAACCAGTATCCGACAGTCCTCGGGGAACCGAACAGCTACCAAACACACACAGTGATCTCCGTTCGCAATGGAAATTTACGCGAAAAGGCGCCGGGAAATATTTACATAGAAACACAGAACACTTTATTTGGCTTTATTTGGAGCCCTGAGATGGAAATGGTTTTGGATCCTTTCAGAACCCCTCTAATTAATCGGCCCTACCGGTTACCACTACGGGATAGGTAGTGAGTAAACTAGCATGCTACTACTGAGCTCTTGTCTCAAGTAGCAGCGATATGGACGGGCTAATTCCAGCTTTATATCTTAAGAGGGTTATAAACGCTGTAGCAATAATTGCTCTCTACGTCTTCACGCCTCTCATATCCACTCTCAATGGGTTCGTTCGTGGAAGTCGGTCCCGTCTTTTTGACGATGTTGATGGGATTTATTTAGCATTCTTTTAGTTCAATATTGTGCTGGAATATTTTACAACTACGTCTGTTTTCCAGCGATGGAGAACCATGTTTTTATCACCGTGATCACACTCGGATTACTTACATCACCGACATATGCTGCTGATGGCGGTTTTCCTAGCTTTAAGATGAGTAATGATGATTGTACTTACGAACTAAATGTGAAAAATAACCTGATAAATGTTTCGTGTGGCCGAAACGTGACCGTTCGTATACACGATAAAAATGGCGTTATTTCAATGACAGGCCGGAAATCGGACAGTCTGTGGTTTCAGAATGGCGCCCGCACCGGCGGTGGATTATTTCGGCCAAACAAAACATCAGCAAGCTTTGGTGTAAATAACAGGGCATCATCTAAATTGAAAGATTCGACGACAATTCTTAAACGAATGAAGAAAAAGCTGGCAATAAGACAGAGAAGCTTAAACAATATTACAACAGATTTGAAAAATGGTGACATTGAGGTTCAGAACGACCTTTCGAGATTGAGAGACTTACAGGCCGGGAACGCTCTTGCTCTGGAAAACGTTGCGGCAACGTTAACGAACCAGTATAGGTTTTTAAGCATGGCCATGTTGGCTCAAAACGCCGAAATGAAGTTGTTAATAACAGCTATGAGCTCACTGATTGTGGCAACGCAAAAATCGGTGCGGGGCAGCCTTGCCGTTAACGATCAGCTACAGGAAGAAATTGTTCTCCTAAACACAGCCCTTCAGAGGGCTAACATTTCCAAACCCGATAAAAAGAAAGGTAAGTAATGCAAGTGGTTTAGTCATTCGAACTCAGGACTTCGTTTTGTTTTGTTATAGAGTAAAATTTTATTTTTCTTACAATCTAAATCATAGGCTATACAAGCAACAAAAACCCTAAAATCGAAATTGTATCTTTTACCTTATGGAACGAGTAATATCAATGACGGAGGTTGGACGGTGGCAAAGCCATCTTCGGATTTTAGAATAAATACGACCCTCCACTCTGTTGCTGTCTCATGATTATTTGATACATTGAGGCATGTATTGTAACCAAATACGAATAAAACAGTAACTAAAATAGACCGAGAATAATATCGTGATGACTTAAACCTTACAGCATATTCCATTGTTTGAAGCGCTTAAGACAGTGTCCAATCCGTACCATATTTAGCCGGTGTCGTCTCAAATAAAAAAAAAATCCTTAATGTCTGTACTTGATTCGATACATCAGTGTGATAGTAACGTGTCTAGTCAGATCACTCCTGATATCTCTCCTCACTTACTGTACATTAAGAGACACTATCAACTCACTTACTGTACAATAAGAGAAACTATCCTCTCACTTACGGTACATTTAGAGACACTATCTCCTCACTTACTGTACATTTAGAGATACTATCTCCTCACTTACTGTACAATAAGAGATACAATATACTCACTTATTGTACAGTTAGAGACACAATCTAGTCACTTACTGTATATTTAGAGACACTATCTACTCACGTACTGTACATTAAGAGATACTATCTCCTCACTTACTGTATATTTAGAGACATAATCTACTCACTTACTGTACATTTAGAGATATTATATCCTTACTTACTGTATATTTAGAGACATAATCTACTCACTTACTGTACATTTAGAGATATTATATCCTTACTTACTGTATATTTAGAGACATAATCTACTCACTTACGGTACATTTAGAGATACTATCTCCTCACTAACTGTATATTTAGAGACATTATCTACTCACTGTATATTTAGAGACATAATCTACTCACTTACTGTACATTTAGAGATATTATCTCCTCACTTACTGTACAATAAGAGATACAATATACTCACTTACTGTACATTTATAGATCACATCTTCTCACTTACTGTACATCTAGAGACACTATCTACTCACTTACTGTATATTTAAAGATACACCTAGAAACATTGACGAAAATTCCATATTTTCCGCTGTCGTAGATTTTAGATGGCCTAGTCCAAAGCAAAAAAAATAATGAGGTCAAGAAGGAATAATATATGCTAAACAAAAACAAAGAGCTTTGTAAAGAAAACACCATTTTCGTTGAAAAAGAACACAACACTTTGAAAAAAATATATATGTATATAAGAGATAAGGATACGTGTTACTTTACTGTAATACCGTGCTACGGACTTACAATGACATTATACTTCACAAGGACGCTGGAATGATTAACATTTCCATATAAATGTATCTTCATTGCTAGAAATGTTATTTAAGAAGAGCGATAAATCTAACATGAAGTAGAATGTAGGATCGCATATACCCTTGAGACTGGTTACAACTGTCCAGCATATATTTCGTTTTTAAAAACGTGATGAACAGAACAGTGAGATTTCACGTTGAAAATCATAATAAATAGTGTGCGAATATGATAAACTTTTAACTTTGTCCACGAGTGCAAGCGCGAGTAAAAATATTAAAAAAATATCTATAGTATGAGTAGATTGTAAATCAAACGGGAACCATTGAATTTATTATTTATCACATTTACCAAAACAGTAGCCGACTATCGGTGTTTGTCAATATTGCAGCTGTGTCAGGATATTTGATTTATATCAGGGTCAGTATATGATCAGGAACATTATTATATCATCGCTGTGTGCCGTTTTGATATATCCACGGTTGTAATGTTAACAATTTTATCTGATAACTTCAATATTTAGCTGACAAAAACGTAATTAACTGCCACATCGGGAGACTCGTATGTCTATTGCAGATCATGATAATAGAAATGAAGGCTAATCAATACATGTAGGGTCTAACTCTTACAAGAAAAATACTGAAAAATAATGTAGACTTTGTAGAAAGGCTAAATCCGTGATATTGAAAATATTATATAATGCATAAGCTAAGTAACTGTAGATAGTACAGAAGGTTGGTCTTAGCTTCTACACAGAACTCTCGTGTTATAGTCAGATTTTCTGAAATGTATGACGTTTTATTTTATACAGTACGAAACAAAACAAAAAATGCTATCTTATGCTAAATAATGTTCAACTAGTACACATAGGCTTGCTATACAAGGCTCACCTAGCATTAAACAAGGCTGACTGATTAAAAGCAAGGCCCATTTAGTATAAAACAAGAGGAGCAAGCGCAATGTTTATCTAGTATGAAACAATGCTTAATAATCCGAAACAATGCTCATTTAGAAAAAAAATCTTATTTCTGCCGAACAATGCCCTATAAATAATACGTTAAGCCTGCTAGAGCGAAACAAGGCTCAACTAGTATGAAAAAGCTTAAAAATACTCAGTATAAAACAATGCTAATTAGTACGAAACAAAACTTACCTAGTATAGAAAAATTAGTGTCACTCAGGGCTAATATAGTATAAAACAATTAGTGCGATACAAGGCTTACATAGTATAGAACAGTTAGTGCGAAACAAGGCTAACCTGGAATAAAATAATTAGTGTGAAACAAGGCTTACCTAGTATAGAAAAATTAGTGTCAATCAGGGCTAATATAGTATAAAACAATTAGTGCGAAACAAGGCTTACATAATATAAGACAATTAGTGCAAAACAAGGCTAACATAATATAAAACAATTAGTACGAAACAAGGCTGACATAGAATAAAACTATAAGTGCGAAACAAGGCTTACATAATATAAAACAATTAGTGCGAAACAAGGCTAGCCTCGTATCAAACAATTAGTATGAAACAAGGCTAACCTAGTATAGAACCAAACTTATTATTGTGAAACAATTCTAACCTAGTATAAAACAATTAGTACGAAACAAGGCTAACCTAGTAATAAACAAGACGTATTAGTGCGAAACAAGGCTAATCCAGTATAAAACCAGACTTATTAGTGCGAAACAAGGCTAACCTAGTAATAAACAAGACTTATTAATGCAAAACAAGGCTTACCTAGTAATAAACAAGACTTATTGGTGCGAAACAAGGCTAACCTAGTAATAAACAAGACTTATTAGTGCGAAACAAGTCTAACCTAGTAATAAACAAGACTTATTGGTGCGAAACAAGGCTAACCTAGTAATAAACAAGACTTATTAGTGTGAAACAAGGCTAACCTAGTATAAAACCAGACTTATTGTTGCGAAACAAGGCTTACCCAGTATAAAACCAGACTTATTAGTGCGAAACAAGGTTAACCTAGTATAAAACACAGCTACATTGTACCGATTGTGACACGAAACTCATATAGTGTTACACAAAGTGAAATTGGTCACGTGAAGCTGAAACAGTGTATCAATGGGCTCAACCTGTGTGACATGCTGTATGACTCAACTTGTTTTACCCCAAGTACACTGTATCAATACACGAACAAACCTTTTTTCACAAAATCCATTTTAGAAGTGTTGAGAAATAATGAGGGTTACGTAACCAAACTGATGCTAAATTGTGAACGATTTCTATATATAGGCTATCATCAAGGATTCAAAATTCAATACATCATCCTCAAACTGCATTACTGTCAAAAGAAGCTGCAAATTCGATACAATTGCAGCAGAAGAAGAAAAAAGGTACGGAAGTGTTCTATCACTTGTGGTTTTCCCGGCGGGCGGGGCTAACTGATGGGTGATGAAGGCAGTCTGGTATCGCCTTGTTAATCTGAACCTGGGGAATTCCTGGGGAATACTTTGGCATACAAGTGATGTTTATTTTCTTGGTGGCGTTTAAAAAATCGATTTTCACTCTCAATGTCGGCAGAGCTCAGAGGGAAACTTAAACGTTCCTTAAATTTCCTGATGGATTGTATTGCAAAGGAATCGGACACTAACAAGATAAGGGAGAACGTGAGTAAGAAGCAACGGTAAAACCACAGTTCGTGTATCATTAGGAATAGCACCAACTGTAGCGTTCATGATACTAACGACACGTCATTGATACACTGTACCATACACCAAAACCACGTGTGTATGCAGTTCATTCATCGTGATGTCTTTAATCACTCATAGCGTGGAAAACGATGGATGAATAGTTTTGTGAAATTATTTCTTTTTCTGTTATGACGCAATTATAACAGCAACGCTACCATTTTACGAATGAGCACATTTATTGATTTTAACGTTCATTTGTTTATAATAGACACGCGCTAATCATACACTTCTAGATTATATTGACAGTAAAAATGTTGGCAACGTTATAACGTCTAAACAATGATTTTGTGTTACAAGCTATAAGGAGGATAACTAAAACACATGGAAACTTAATGGGATGTACGGCCGTTCTATAGCCTCCTTTTAAAATTCGTTTTTTAAACACGAATACTTCGGCTATAAACGTTGCTATCTGAGTGTTTGACGGTGCAGGCGGACACGTTTTACTCCATTAAAGCCCTTCCCTGTAATCCTATCAGTTCTAGAAATAAATTCAAGATAGTTATGTGAGCGAGTAATGACGCAATAAGTATAAAAAGGGACACGTTAAAGCCACAAACTCTGTTTCTGTTATGATTGACGTTTACAAACAAACACACCAACTGAGCATTCAGCTATAGCATGATGGAAACATACAAACAGGAAATAGATTAACGATTGGCCGAGTTCCATGTTTGTTCGCGGTAGACATGCAAACCTGTTTAACACTGCCAGCGTCTCAAGTGTTTCGGACTTGAATTCGTCACCGAGACAGGAAATGTGTGAATTATCAACACTTCATCACCTCGTGCTATCACAGTTGATGTTGAACAGCGCAGTGAGAAACCGATTGTAATTTGTATAATTGTTTTCAAGGGTAAATATTCACCAGCATGTAGACAAAT